CAGGAAGGTGGCAGAGAGTGGGCACTCAAAGGAGGCCTGACTCAGCCTGTGAGGGGAGGGCAGCTGTTACCCCAGGAAGGGCCCAACCCTGAAGAGCCAGCAGGAGTTTGCAGGGGATCCTGGGGGAATCCCTGTGGATTTCACAACAGCCTCTTCATCCCACCAATGACTGGGCACTGAGGTCACAGCAGGGTCCGGACCAGACCCTAGTCCTCTGGAGGAGCAGCAAATGTTCGCAACTGTTGGGCTGCTTCTCTGGCCCTCTTGGCAGCATTTTTTGGAGAACACTGAGAATATTGCTTTTGTCCTCTCTGAGGGAGCTGTGCTTATGTTGTCCCCAAACACCCGTGTTGAAATCCCAATCCCAGTGTGACCGTGCTTGGAGGGGAGGCTCTGGAGAGGTTCCACTTACGGCGGAGCTTCATGAGTGGGAATGGTGTCCTCATAGAAAAGACCAAGCTGGAAGGTGGTGGCTCACGCCTTGAATCCCAGCACTCAGGAGGCAGAAGCAGGAAGATCTCTGTGAGTTTGAGGCCAGCCTGGTCTACAGAGTGAGTTCCAGGACAGCCAGGTCTACAGAGTGAGCTCCAGGATAGCCAGGGCTACACACAGAGAAACCCTGTCTCGAAAAACAAACAAACAAACAAACAAACAAACAAACAAAAAGTCAAGCTACAGTAATCAGTAGCAACCTAAAGATGGACATATGTACAGACCAGTGGGATGGAACTGAGAACCCAGAAACAAACCCTGTGTACACAGTGGCTGATTTCTGACAAAGGTGTTGAGACCAAGAGGAATCATGGAGAAAGAAGAGTCTTCAACAAATAACACCGGGGAAAACAGATATCATATCCAAAAGAATGAAGTTGAGGGACTGGAGAGATAGCTCAGTGGTTAAGAGCACTGGCTGCTCTTCCAGAGGATCCAGGTTCGATTCCCAAGGCTCACAATCATCTGTAATTCTACTTCCTGGGGATCTGATGCCAACTTCTGGCTTCACCAGGCACACATGTGGTACATCGAAATGTACAGGTAAAACACCCATACTTATAAAGTAAAAAGTTAAAAGTTGAACCATTTGGGTCAGTGGTTAAAAGCATACGCTGATCTTCCAGAGGACCCGAGTTCAGTTCTGAGCACCCATGCTGGAAAGGTCACAATGGCCTGCAACCCCAGCTCCAGGGGATCCAATGCCCTCTTCTGGCCTCCACAGGCACCTGTGTGCTGCATATAGTATGTACACATGTAGACATACACACACACACACACACACACACACACACACACACACACACACACTCACATGAGAATGAGAAAATGAGATAAAAAATAAACTCAAAATTGAGCAAATGTCACAATTTGGGGAGGAGCTCAGTTGGCATAGTGCTTGCCTGGCATTATGGCAGCGGATTCTCTTCCCAGCCGGGCATGGCACCACACGCCTGTAACCTAATCACACCTGCACAGAGGATGGGATGGTCAAAGGCATTCTCAGCTATCAAATGAGTTTCGGGCCAGCCTGGACTACATAAGGGCTCCTGAGATAGCCAGTCTCTGCATGGTTAGACTTCCCGTCCTGTCCACCACTATCAAGTGTCTGCACTGGATTCTCCCGTGGAGTGTGCTTTAAGAGGGTCCTGTTCTCCCGCAGAGATCCTGAACTGACACTCCTGGTTAGGGAAGTCTAGGTGAACAACCTCAGGACGGGAGTCATGAAGATGTGTACAGCTGGTTTACTCTCCGGCTTATGCCTCGGGGAGTGCTCAGCCAGGCTCCAATTTACATTCAGATAACCAGGGCATCCTATGAAAATGGAGATTCTAATTTCGTAGTTCTGCACAGGGTCTGAGAGTCCCCCTCCCCCTTTCCTTTTAAGAATTACTTTAGGGGCCTGGAGAGATGGCTCAGCGGTTAGGAGCACTGGCTGCTCTTCCAGAGGACCCAGGTTCAATTCCCAGCACCCACATGACAGATCACAACTCTCTGTAACTCCAGTTCCAGGGGACCTGACACCCCCACACAGACATACATGCAGGGAAAACACCAATGCACATGAAATAAAAAAATTAATTAAAAAAATATTTTTAGGGCTGGAAGACGGCTCAGCAGGTGAAGGAGCTTGCTTCCGAAGCCTGAGAAGCTGAGCTTGCTCCTTTGAGTCCACACGGTGGAAGAAGAGAGGCAATTCTGACAAGTTGTCCTCTGCCCTTCAAATGTGCACCACCACCCAGACAAATAAATGTAATAAATCTTAATAAAACAAACAACTTAGGGCCAGGGAGACGGCTCAGTGGGTCAAGGCACTTGCACCTAAACCTGGTGGCCTGAGTTCAATCCCTGGGACCGCATGGTGGCATGGTGGCATGGTGGCATGGTGGCATGGTGGCAGGGGAGAACTGACTTCTACTGTTGTCCTCTGACCTTTACATGCTTGCACACACACACACACACACACACACACACGTGTAACAAAAATTTAAATATTTAAAATTGGTTATCATATGATTTGCTATGTGTATAAAATGAAAATTATTAGATTAAGATAATTAACATATTATCATCTTATAATTTTTGTGAGCCTTTTGCAGTTTGCTCTATTACATGAAATATAATCAGTGACAATAGTCACCTTGCTACGAAATAAATCTCAAAAATTCCTCTTGTCTAAACTTGGTACCCTTTAACAAACTTTCTTTCCTCTAGCTTCTGGCAACCACCCTCTGCTGTCTACTAGGAGTTTGACCCGTTAGATTTTATATGTGAGATCACGTTTGTCCTTTTGTGGCTGGCTTGTTTCGTTTAGCGTGGTATCTTCTGGAACCATCCTGCAGTTTCAGGGGTGCGGGGATAGGGGCTGCGAGGCCACAGCACAGCAGTTGTTGCCGTCAACTGTATCCCAGAGGTCTGCAGGGGGGCATCCCTCGCTGCTCTGTCCTTGGACAAGTGACATCTTCAGGGAGCAAGGCCTGAGTTCTGGGAGGGATGAAGGCAGCTTAGAGGGGCTATGCGCTAACAAGATGACTTCCTTTGAATGATAGTTTGTTATTTACCCTTCCCAGCATGATGGGCACATGCCACCATGCAGGCCTCAGGCTGGGTCAGGAGGCAGAAGGAGCCAGGGAGAAATAGGGGCCCGAGTATTTAGTGTAGACTTTGTGTATTTTATTCCCCTATCCATTTTAGTTTGAGACAGGCTCTTACTCTCCACCCCTAACTGACCTGGAACTCGCTATGTAAACCAGGCTGGCCTCGAATTCACAGAGGCCTACCTGTCTCTGCCCCTCAAGTGCCAGCATGAAAGGTATGCACCACCATGGCTGGCAATGTATTTATTTTTAAGACAGGGTCTTCCTCTGTAGCCTAGGCTGTTCTCCGACTTGAGATCCTCCGGCCCCACTCTCCTGAGTGGCTTGCACTAGCTACTCTGTCCAGTTTACTGATGTTTCTGTGGGGAAGAATGGGAAAGGAGGTTTAGGTGAGCGCATCAGCTTGGGTTGCGCTGTTTGAATACTTTCCACAGGTCGTGGCCTCTGGGTTGGTCCCTGGATCTCTGGCGCCTGCCCTTGGACTCACAGTTTGGAGGTCGTGACCTAGGATGCTTCATCTGATAGAAGGTACTGGGTCGGGACGGACTTGGCTGGATTTTGGGTCAGATGGTTTGCATATGAGATATAAGCTCAAAGGCGAGGTATCTGCCGTCCCTAGGGGTTATTCAACTCTGGCTTGGGAGCAGTCAGGAAAGAAACATGTATGACACATCTGTGGAATGTACTAGAGCATCAGGAGATGTCCACAGGGGCCATGACCTCTCCATAACCTTTCCTGTTGACCTTAGAAACAAAATGACCAATGAGAGCTGGGGACTCCAAGTCCTTCACTGGCCTCGGTCTGATGTGGGGCCAGTGACAGTTTCCACAACACCTCTCTTCCAGGCTTGGGTCACTCCAGGCATCCCTTGCTGCTCTGTGGCCTCGGACAAGGGACTTCTAGCTGGCCCTGGAAGGTCATGGGGAGAAGAAACAAACAGTGTAGGGCACTTGTCTCAGAGGCCTCTCTCTCTGCCTGTCCATCCCTGCCTCTGGGAGCACCCTGGAGCGGGCTGGGAAGGTCCCCGTTCCAGCCCATCATCCGTGTAAACTGGAGTTAGCAAGACAGTGACCACTGAAGACATTTCAGGTGACAGTCAAGAGTCCCTCCAGGCAGGAGAAATAAAATGGGGAGGGCCTGCTAGCTGGTCTATGGCCCTGGACACAGTCACCCTGCAGGTGAGACATACTTGCCAGGGCAGACACCACAACGGTAAAAGCCATCAGGGAAAACTGGTTCCTTCAGGTCAAGAAAGTGAAAGCTCTGGCCTGGGCAGAGACCTGCTCCAAATATAAACAAATGAGTCCAGTCCATCAGCTGGCCTGCAGACTCTCCCTCAGGAAGGCAGGGCTGCCCCAGGAAGGCAGGCTCACTGGCCATGCTAAAGAGATAGGTGGAATAATTATCCCTTTAGTGAGATACTATACTTTTCCTTCCCAGAATTCCTGGCCCCTATGAGCTCCCCCCACCTCCGTGGAGCTTTATCTAACTTTCTCTAAAGCTCCCTCAGGCGGTGGGTGAGCTCCATGCCAGCTTAACTCAAATGGCATGGCTTTTCCCCCTTTTTTCCATTTTCTTCCTCTGGGCGATTGTCACTGTGTATACATTGGTCACTGCTCTTAATTGTGGTCACGTACAATGGCAGGAAGCACTGTCTCCTTCAGACCCTGTAGCCCAAGGTCATGGGCGGAGCAAATACCACTACAGTATTATTATTATTATTATTATTATTATTATTATTATTTAGGTTATATATGTGTACCATGTATGTGTCTAGTGACTATGGAGGAGGTCAAGAAAAGGATTTGGAAACCCAAAACTGGAGTTCCAGATAGTTGTAAGGTACCATGTGTGTGCTGGGAGCCAAACCCAGGTCTGCAAGAACAAGTACTCATAACTGCTTAGCCATCTTCCCAGCCCCCAGTAGTGGGCATCTTATAAAGCAAGCTGTTTTTTTAAAATTTTATTTTCGTTCATGTGCATTGATGTTTTGTCTGCATTCATGTCTGTGTGAGGGTGTTGGAGCCCCTGGAACTGTAGTTACAGACAGTTGTGAGCTACCATGTGGGTGCTGGGAATTGAACCTGGATCCTCTAGAAGGGGAGCCAGTGCTCTGAACCACTGAGCCATCTCTCCAGCTGCAAGAGAGCTGTTTTCTAAAGAATGACTTTTAGATGTGTGTGTGTGTGTGTGTGTGTGTGTGTGTGTGTGTGTGTGTGTGTGTGTGTATGTGTGTGTGGGTGTGTGTGTGTGTTCTTGTTGTTACTGTTGATGGTGTGGATATGCATGTGTGTGGAGGCCAGACACAATATTTTGATCTATTTCCACCTCACTTAACTGGATCTAGGCAAGTGGCCAGCAACCCCTGGGATTCCTTGTTTCCACCCAGCACAGGCTGGGGTTACTGGTGCACACTGGGGTTACTGGTGCACACTGGGGTTACTGGTGCACACACTGGGGTTACTGGTGCACACTGGGGTTACTGGTGCACACTGGGGTTCCTGGTGCACACTGGGGTTCCTGGTGCACACTGGGGTTCCTGGTGCACACTGGGGTTACTGGTGCACACACTGGGGTTACTGGTGCACACACTGGGGTTCCTGGTGCACACTGGGGTTCCTGGTGCACACTGGGGTTACTGGTGTGTACACTGGGGTTCCTGGTGCACACACTGGGGTTACTGGTGCACACTGGGGTTACTGGTGTGTACACTGGGGTTACTGGTGCACACACTGGGTTCCTGGTGCACACTTCAAATTCCACCAAGGCTAAAAAACATTTATAGTTCTCACTGAACATCGACTCCCCACCAACTTTCTGGAAAAAAGTGAAATAAAGTCCTCCCACGAGACTTTAAAAATGTAAACTCTCAATTCCAGTTGTCGGGGTAACATCCTCACGCTGCCGGAGTTCCATTTCTATATTTTGGTGCTGATGGACATCCGTTACCATGAGAACAGAAAGGGCATCACACAAAGTGGATTTGGGTGCTTCTCTTCCCGTCTGGTGAAAAACAAGATCCACAGGGACAGCCTCAGCTCAGCGCAGAGACCCCAGAGCCGAATGATGACAGTTGCTGGGTGGGTAGGATCTAGTGGCCAGTAGGCTGGCGTTCATTTTATTTGTTGTTTGAATTTCGTTTTGAATAAAACACGTTTTGTGAAGCTGGGGTCGTAGCTCGGGTGTAGAGTGCTTGCTTGGCAAACACCAGGCCCTGGGCTTGATCCCCTACCACAAACAGAGTGTGGGCAGGCAGGTCAGAAGGTCCCTCCTCAGCTACAGAGCGACTTCGAGGCCAGCCTGGGCTACACGAGGCCCTGTATGAAAACAAAACAAAACAGAAACCCAAAAAGAAGTTTTATTTATTTGCTAACTTTTAAAAAAGAGTCAGTTGCTATATTAGTTGTGGATTTAGATTCAGCCAGGCTTGGGTTACTTACCTTGATTGTTTTAAATTTTGCTTTGTTTGTTTGGGAGGATTTTTGTTTTGTTTTGTTTTAAGCATGGTTTTACTGGGTAGCTCTGGAAGCCCTGGAACTCAAAGCAATCTTCTGCTGCCCTGTGCTGGGATTACAGGCCAACGCTCCTACCCCGGCTCTTCTGTAGACCCTGAGACTGGGTTTCATGACTAGCTGAGCCTAGCCTTGAATTTCCACAGTCTACCTCCAGAGTAGTTGGATTCCAGGCACGCACACCAGCACGCCTTGCCTGCAGTTAAATTAGTGTTATAGGTGTATCCTCACCTTCCTCTTTGGATGGCAAACTTCTCACTCTGGAAAGAAAGCATAATCATTTCCCTAGGAGGGTCTTCACCATACCCCACCCTGACCTATCTCCAAGGGGATGGTGCCCACTCTTTCAGATCCATGTTCTGTTCACCCATTTTCTCTTTCAAAGCCAAACATTTGAAAACTGTAAGTCTTTGGGTTCAAGGGCTAGCGTGTGCTTTTCCAGAACTCTCTACCATGCCGCTGGTAGCTGTTCTAAGATTTCTATTCCTATGTACAGAATTAAGTTTCGACTGACAATTTTAAATCAGTTAATCTCACGAGATTTGTGTGTGGGAACAAAATTGAAGATAGGAAAAAAAAAAAGAAAGGAAAAAAGCTAAAACCTAGAGTGTGACTAGCAGCCTGTCACCTCCACAGTTTTTAGTGGATCTTCTAATGGAATGTGCACACCCGGTGTGTTGATCACACGCTCAGCACTGAGCTGAATACATCACACGCCTTATCTCATTTACCTCTCAAAATTCCTCTGAAGTAGGGTCTATTTTCACTAGTCCATCTTGCTACAGATAATTAGGCAAATTTCCCGAGGTTGCACAGCTATCATTCTTGAGGAATGTGGATGTGATACAGGCATTATGTGTTTCTACCTATGACTTAACCTTCAAGCCGTGGAATGCCCTCTTTACAGAGATATCCAAGGCCAACTGAATGGGGTTCCCACATCTGGGCAAGCTCAAACCACAGAAGCTGCCAGACCTGCCTCAGCTGGTCATTCTCACTGCTATCCTGCCTTCCTGGGTCATACACCTGCCAGGCAGAAAGCCAAATGGCTAAAAGGATGATCCTGAGACACTCCAGCGGTCCTATAAATCCATCCCTGGCCCTATGGAAGGATCTTATGTTGACCCAACACTCCTAAGTATGGGAATTTATTCTAAAAAAATCAAAATAACAATAAACCCGGTATAACGACATATACCTACAATTCCAGCCCTTAGGAGGCTTGGGGTAAGAGGATGGAGAGATTGAGGCTGGATTGGGATACCTAATGAGATCCTACCCCAAATAATAATGGTAATAATAATAACAAGAACAACAACAATAAAACTAAAACAGCAAAAAGAATCCATTAAAATTGGAAGCAACATAAATGTCCCACAAAATAGCTGGGCAAATTAGTCAACTGAGTGGAATACGCAGCCACTAAGACCACTGTGAAGGAGACCTGTGAAAATGTTTGTAATAGCGTGAACTGATTCAGTTCTGCAGCTGAAAGTCCATGTCAATGTGCTCTCTCTAATATATGTGTTCGTGCATGTATATACACACATGTATTCATATATATTCATAATGTTAAGTGAAAAACATAATATATCTAAGTAAAAATGGGGTTGGAGAGATGGCTCAGCAGTTAAGAGCATGTATTGCTCTTCCAGAGGACCTGAGTTCAATACCCAGCATCCATGTCAGGTGGCTCACAACCACCCATAACTCCCCACCTCTGGCCTCTGTGGGCGCATGCACTAAGGTGAACAGCCTTCCCCCACACGTACATATACATAATTAAAAATAATAAAGATTAAAGTAAAAACTCTAAATAATATATCTAGTATTTGTGAAAGCCTGGAAGTGGAAAATGGCGACAAAGATCAAAGTCAAGGCTGGGAATATCGCTAGATGCTTGGGAATGTGACTAGATGCTTGGGAATATCTCTAGATCCTTGGGAATATGGCTAGATGCTTGGGAATGTGGCTAGATGCTTGGGAATATCACTAGATGCTTGGGAATATGGCTAGATGCTTGGGAATATCGTTAGATGCTTGGGAATATCGCTAGATGCTTGGGAATATGGCTAGATGCTTGGGAATATGGCTAGATGCTTGGGAATGTGGCTAGATGCTTGGGAATGTGGCTAGATGCTTGGGAATGTGGCTAGATGCTTGGGAATGTGGCTAGATGCTTGGGAATGTGGCTAGATGCTTGGGAATGTGGCTAGATGCTTGGGAATGTGGCTAGATGCTTGGGAATGTGGCTAGATGCTTGGGAATATGGCCAGATGCTTGGGAATATGGCTAGATGCTTGGGAATATGGCTAGATGCTTGGGAATATGGCTAGATGCTTGGGAATATCGCTAGATGCTTGGGAATATCGCTAGATGCTTGCCAAAGCCTTGGGTTGTTTCTGCCACTGAAGGTAAAAAAAAAGATGACAGGATTTGAGTTTGATTAGACTGATTTTCCTAACCCCTAGCCAGTACCTAATGCACATGGATGTTTTATGAGTCAATGGATGTTTTGGATTTTTTCCAGGTGTGATGGTGCACGCCTTCGATCCCAGCACTTGGGAGGCAGAGACAAGTGGATCCCTCTGATTCTGAAGCCAGCCCGTGTTGTTTTCATTAAATTCAGTAGCTGCCCCTTAAGCAACTGCTATCCTCATCGGTAACTGCAACTCCACAGCTACAGTAGTGGTTGGGTCAGCACAGCCCAGCGGGAATTCTGTCCCCTCAGGCGCCGGCTCTACCACAGCTGCTGAAGGGAACTTTAGATCCCTATCCCTCTATAGAACTCAGGATTCAGAGGCTGAGGTGAAATTCTGCTCGCTCAGAGGGGCTGCATAGCAAGGAGCTCATCTTCTCTCCCAGCTCACGTCTCCCCACAAACAGGGCATCCTTCTGCTTAGCCCTTAAGAACCCTGGCTACACATGGTTCCTCCGTACCGTTTTCCTGTCGGCTAGCTGCCGCCTCAGCCTCCTGACCCCAGGTGAACTTTATTTACTCAAACTAAGGTGACACATCTTTGCATCATTGAACAAGTGTTCCAGAGCATAAACGAATGTAACACATCTTAAATTAATATTCCACAACAAGTCTACGTCGTAAGTCCCAGGACGGCTGGGGCTATGTAGTGAGACTCTGTCTCTACATAGATTGCTGGATGAGCATCAGATGATACAAGTTATTAACTTTTCTTCTTTAGTAATTTATTTTATGGCTGTTAGGATAGTGTTAGTACAACTTTATGTTGTTTTAAGAGAAGGTCTCTTGTAGCCCAAGCTGGCCCTCCAACTCATTGTGTAGCTGAACATGACCTTTGCCCTAGTTTGCTTACTGTGCCTGTGATAAAACCCAGACCAAAACCAACTTAGAGGAAGAGGGAGTTTGTGTGGCTCGCAGCTTACAATCCATGGTTGAGGATGATGGAGAGGTCACTGCTTACGGGCTTGCTCCCCAGGGCTTCTCAGCTCGATTTCTTATACAGCCCAGGCCCACTTGCCCATGGGTGGGTCCCACAGTAGGTTGGGTCCTCCCATATCAATCGCTAATCAAGAAAATGCTCCACAGGCTTGCCCACAGGCCAATCTGATGGAGGCAATTCCTCAGTCGAGGCTCCCTCTTCCCAGATGACTCTAGTTCCTGTCAAGTGACTTCTCTGTGTGAACATTGATGTCTGAGGGAAGGACGGTGCACAACCTGCTTCATTTTCACCAGAGGCAGAGACCAAAAGGAGAGTGCAGCTAATCTGTCATTGAGAGCAGAGTTGGACCAAGAGAACCTTCTGCCACTGCTGTTTCCAGTAACTTCCCCCACAGCCTTCCTGCCCTCCCCCAACATTACCACTTTCCCAATGTCTTCTCTGTCCTAAGTGACATTTGGTGGCATTTGTGCACACAGGCTGCCATTATTGCTCTGGGAGACTGGTGTGGACAGTGTGCATGGAGCTCAGCCATCTGACTGAAAAGCAACAAAAGACAGCTGCACATTCCCAGGATCTCAAGGGTTAAGGATGAAGGACACAGAGAGGGATGGGGTCATGACGATCCAACTTCCAAGGCCGAGGGATGGACTGTCTCGGTTTGGAAGGATGTGTTGACACTGCCATTACAGCCCTCTGGTGACGCACTTGTAAATACAACTGTGGCCAGCGTTACAGTGACTATGTTCTTGAAGGCAAAGCCTAGGAGGGCAGGAAGAGACAGCGAGAGGGACATGGGCATGGTCAGGGTTGATCTCCATCTTTGTGCTGAGGCTTTCACATGACCCTGACCTCTTATGCACTGTCTATGCTGGCAGGGATGGAAACAGTGAGTTAGACACTGGGGAGAGGCTGTCCACAGGGTAGCAGATCCAAGGTGCCACTTAGCAGGTCCCAAATACAGACGTGGAGTGAAGCCTTTCAGTAGTTGGGGTTCCAACTGTGTGGTTGGAATGAAGGTGAACTGGCAGAGGTCCAGGAGGACAGTGGCACATGGTAAGGCTCAGAGGCTGGGGCAAGCTGTGCACCTGTGTACCAGAACGCGTGTTAGAGGACAGAGCATACCTTCCGGAAGTCAGTCTTTGTGTTCATGGGACCCGGTCGTCATGCTCACATAGCAAGCTCTTGTATTCACTGAACCGTCTCCAGGGTTTCTCTTTCTAAGGGTGTCACCTTCATACAGATGTGCCCAACGACATACAGATGTGCCCAAAGACTTGCCAAAGACAGAGGAGGCCTATTTCCTTTGCATCTGTTGTTCCCTCTATCATGCTAGAGATCATTTTAGGACAAAAAGGAGGAGGAGGAAGAAGAAGGAAGAGGAGGAGGAGGAGAAGAAGGAAAGAAAGGAAGAAAGAAAGAAAAGACAGAAAGATCTACCACCTATTCTGGTAGATGCATATAGCATAATGCTGTTTTGACTGCACTATCAATGCATTAGGGGCGCACACATGGAGACGGCAGCAGCACCCGTCTTCCCAACTTTTCATCACCCCCAAATAAGTAGCTGCCATTCTACTGTCACCTCAACCCCTCATTCTATGAATTTACCCATTTGACATGTTAGTGCTTCTATAGTATTAGTCTTTTTATATCTTTGTCATATATGTTTTTAAGGCTTATCTATGCTCTACTCTCAGAATTTCATTCATTTTTAAGAACAAATATTCTATCACCTGTTGTTTGCTCATTCATAAGGGACAGGGTGATTTCTTCCCTTCTGACTGTTGTGGACAGTGGTTCCATGAACATGGGCACATTTCTGATTCCCTTACTTCAATCCCCTTAGTTATACACCTAAAAGTGGTCTCGGGTTGTATGGGAGCTTAGTTCACGGTGTTGCTGCGGCAGAATACCGAGGTCTGGGGATTATAAACAACAGAAGTTTATTTCTTACAGGTCTGGAGGCTTAGGAGTGAAGATCCAAGCCCTGGGATCTGATGAGGGCTTTCTCCATGAATCCTCAAGAGGCAGAAGGCAGAAGGCAAAACCTCCACCATCACTTCCTTTTTAGCCAAGAAATCAGAAACATACTTTCTCTTTGCAAACAGTACTGAAAGTGCTTAGTTCTAAGTTGCTCTGATGAGTCTAAACACGGGTCAGGACAGTCATCAGTCATCACGGTGCAGAAGAACTGTGGCAGAGGTCAGGACAGCTCCATGCTTCCTACGGTGTCCTAATGGCTTTGGACACCTTGATTGGTGGGCTCAGGAAGGAAAGCTAGAGCACAGAGCTTTTGCAGGACACTGAGCACATATGGACCACCAGGTCCATCTACTCCGTCTGCATCCATTGCTTTAACAAATATTACTGTCTTCCTGGTCTTTTTGTTTGTTTTTGTTTTTTGAGACAGGGTTTCTCTGTGTAGCTTTGGAACCTGTGCTGGATCTCGCTCTGTAGACCAGGCTGGCCTAGAACTCACAGAGGTCCGCCTGGTTCTGCCTCCCGAGTGCTGGGATCAAAGGCGTGCGCCACCACCGCCCGGCTCCGGGTCTTTTTATTATGAAAGGAATGCATGCCTGAGGAGTTGCTTGTGGTGCACATAGAGGCAGAAGAACTCTTGACCATACAATAACTACTTACAATAGCCTGAGACTGTCAAACTGTTTTCTTTTTAAACATTTGTTTATAGTGTATGTGTGGGTGTGCACATGCCACCGTGGGAGGGGACACAGTGGAGAACGTCTGTTCTCTCCTACCCTTTGGGTCCCTGGGATCAAACTCAGGTTGTCAGAGGTGCCCACTGATCCTCCTTACCAGCCCATGTCAGACTGTGTCTGCAGTGGCTGAATCCCTTGGGATCTTTTTGGTAACATCTGAGAATGGTAGTTCCTCTGTGTTTTGGCGTTTGTCGTTGCCTCTCTTGTTCATTTTAGGCCTCTGTTTTGAGTGGGGCGCTTCTTTTGTAAGATGGCCCCATCCACACACTGTTGCCACATCTTTCCCCTTCTCACCAGACAGTCTACAGCAGTCACTGTTCCAGCCCTTCTCACCTCCAGGTGGTCTTCTCGGTCTCTGAATGTCTTCTGACCGTCACGTCTCCAGAGTTCCCTAAACAATGCTGTCCACGCTGGCGATAACATTGGGTGGGAGATCTGCAAGCACCTTCTTCCCAATGTTCCAGCACACACAACTGCTCTAATACAAACTCCTGTGTGGTGGTATTGTGTTTCCCAAAATATTGTACACCCTAATAAACTTATCTGGGGTCAGAGACAGAACAGCCACTAGATACAAAGGCTAGAAAATGGTGGCACTCACACCTTTAATCCTAGCACTCCAGAGGTAGAAATCCCTCTGGATCTCTGTGAGTTCAAGGCCACATTGGAAATGGCCAGGCATGGTGATACATGCCTTTAATCCCAGGGAGTGGTGGTAGAAAGCAGAAAGGTATATAAGGTGTGAGGACCAGAAACTAGAAGCATTTGGCTGGTTAAGCTTTCAGGCTTCTAGCAGCACAGTTCAGCTGAGAGCCATTCGGATATGAGGACACAGAAGCTTCCAGTCTGAGGAAACAAGCTGAGAAGTTGGCCAGGTGAGGTTAGCTGTGGCTTGTTCTGTCTGTCTGATCTTCCAGCGTTCAACCCAATAACTGGCCTATGTTTGTTTTTATTAATAAGAACTTTTTAAGATTCCTGCTACACTCCTGTACCCAAGGGAGGCCCCAAAGGACATTAAGCATCCCACAAGTTCAAAGACTCAACAAGCGTTTTAGCACCAAGGTGGTTAGGCTGCTTTAACCTGGGAGCCTGGGAAAGACACACATTCTCCAGTATGTGCTTCCCCTGGGTAAGGACCCAGAAGTCTTTGCTTTGACAAGCCTTCAGGTGGATGAGGGGGCGGCACTGGGGTGGATGCAGCGGTCTCCTCCTGCTTCTCCACGGAAAGTCCTCCCTTGGCAGCTGCCCTCAGCCTTGCGCTGTGTCTGCTCAGGTAGATGGATTGCATTCACCCCGACTCACAAGGGTTATGGGCACTCAACTTTCCCAGCACAGAGACTGTCCTGGGCTGCAGCCTCCTTTGGCAAACTTCATAAACCTCTGTCACTCCACAAGGCAATATGCAGCCCAACTGTACGGGACTCAAAGTGGAATATATCTGTCCTACCATGCTGCTTGCCTGGGCTAAACTGGCTTTGAGCACAGGACTGTGAATGGAGCAAACCAC